TATTTAGTTGTTTCATGAGCATTATCAATAATTGTTATCAAATTCTGATTATATAAGCAATCACTGAATGAATTGAATGAGACTGAATTTAATCTTCAGTCTCAGTCTTGTTCTGATTTTGAAAGAATGATTATCTTTAACAGTTTATTTTGAGACATTACTTTTATTTCACTGTTCTTAAATTAAATCTGATTATTTTTCATGTCATTTCTCTCAGAAATGATTCATTTTCAGATTTTTTTAAGGCTTCATTCTGATGAGACTCACATCAAGAAATGTATAAGATCAGATTAAATAGAATTAAATGTGAAATTCATGATCTCAGTGATCAGTCTAGATATACTCTATCTTAAATCAGAACTCACTCAGTCTCTGAGCTCAGTGAATCTGTCACTATGAGAGTTTCTTAGTTGAAGTAAACTGTTATAAGCTGTTATAATCAGTTCTAACAGTAATCACTGTTATAAGACTCTCAAAGTAGTGATATCAGTGACAGAAGAATTTCACTACTATAAGAAGCTCTTTATTATGAATATTATAGTTAATCTCTGTGAGTTGCATGTTTCATGAGAAAAAGGCCACTGAAACTCAGTTCTCATTTGACTGTAGTTATAAGACTATTTCTGAACTTATAGAGAAGAAGATATCTGTCTTCAATCTGATTAAGAGTAAGAAATTAAAGTGAAATAGTATCACTATATCTATAAATATCTATTTTAATCTTGTAAAGACTCTGTGAGTTTCTGAGATAAGAAAGTTCTCACAGCTCTTTCTTCTCAATAATCTTTTCATTGTTTATTTATAGAATAACTTCTTTTTTATTTTCATTCTTCAGCATGTCTGTAAGAGTTAAGAAGATTTTTATAAATGCAATGATAAATTATCTATAGAAATTTACAAAGTTTAGAAAGATCTGAATCTCATAAATATTAGTTAACTCTGATTATAATAGAATAGTCTTAACTTACAAAGATTTCATCTGAATATTATCTGCAGTGATTACATATTCTAGAAAATTAATCTGACAGATACTGAAGTTATACTTTATAAGCTTAATATACAGTTCTGTCTTATCTAAGATCTTTAATACATTTCACATATGCTTAGTGTGTTCTTTCTTCTTTATAGAATACATCATCACATTATTCAGATATATTATTACAAAGATATTCAGATATATATGAAGTGTTTTATTAATGAAAGACTGAAATACTATGAGAGTATTAGTCAAATTAAAAGATATTACTAGATATTCAAATAATCTCAGTATAGTTCTAAAGACAGTCTTTTATTCATTCTCAGATTATATTCACAGCTGTGTATGAAATACTATGAGAGTATTAGTCAAATTAAAAGATATTACTAGATATTCAAATAATCTCAGTGTAGTTCTAAAGGCAGTCTTTTATTCATTCTCAGATTATATTCACAGCTGTGTATATATATTAATCACATTCAGTTATATGAATATAACAGCTCTTATAAGACAGTTAATTACATTTTCAATCAGAGATAGAGAATAGTGACTCTTTATTATCTTAAAGTTCAGATTATAGTAGTTTATATATAATCTGAGATCTTTATTCTTCTTCTTCATAAATATCACAGAGACTTCTGCAGAGATTTATAAAGATCAAATAAAGTCATTCTTCAGATTCTTCTTTATATAGACTTATAAGATCTCTATCTCATAATAAAAGAGCTTATAAATTGATTCTTAGAAGAGTTTGTACTCTTCTATTAAATCTATTATCAGATTCTTCTTATAGTGAGATGAAAGCTCAGCTGTCTTTACTAAGCTAAATATCTTTATAAAATCTCAGTATTTCTCTGATATCTGAAGCACAGTTTTCATAATGATAAAGTTTTCAGATATTTGTAAAGTTATTGTAATAAATGAGTTTATCTTCTCTAATTAACTCTGCAGTATTAACTGATTCTATCTCTGTAAGTAAGTCTATTAACACTGATTAGAAGTATAAATCTGATATATAAACAGCTATGTATGAATTATATCTTTAAAGTTATACAAGTTTTAAGTACATGTCATCTGTGATGTCTATAATAATCACAGTTTCTATAAATCTTCTTCAGATTTCAGAGAGATCTTACAATTCAAAGATAACTCTTATAAGTCTCTCAGCTCTCAGATCTGAGTTCTCACATTCTACTTATTATAAGAGCTGGTTTTCAGTTTTCATCACTCAGCTTATTTACTCTGTGAGCTTTAGAGATACTATAGTGACCTAAGATTCTGAGTTTATTAATACTTTTCATACTTACAGAGCAGTAGTACTGCAGTACAGTTTCTTCTCATAAGTATATATTTTTATTGAGAAAGTAACAGATTCAGATGTTAGCTTCAAAACTCTTAAGAAGACTATTACTAACTCTATTTATAACTTCTTAAATTTCTATTTTAATTTATTCAGATAGTTTGTACAGAGATATTCTAATTTAGAATAGATAAAGCAGAGATTCTTTTTCTTAGTCTCTTTATTATACACTCTGTTTATAAGAGCCTATGAAGCTTTCTCTCTCTACTTAGCAGTCAGATATAAATCTCTCTATATCTTATTATCTTTCTCTAATAAATCTGTTTTTTATTATTCTGATTCTTATAGAGCTGATAAGTGATTTACTCTTCATAAGTTTATAACTCTTATAGTAATTTGTAAGTAATGAATAAGAGTTATCAGTTTATTCAGAGTTAAGAACTTAGAGTCTTATTTAATAAGCTTATTCTGTATATCTTTATTCAGTCTCTTTATAAATATTATCATTCAGATTTTATTTCAGAGCTCTGTTTTCACAGATCTTAATTCATATTATAATTTTATAAAGTACTGTGAGTAGTCTTTATCAGATTTCTTATCTCTTTTTTTAATATTAATAATTACAGCTAAGATATTCTCTGTTCAGCTTATAGAGTCTCTTAACTTATTCTTTAAATAGATCTTAAGAATAGATTAGTGAAATCTCTTATAATTATTCTCTAGATAATTTAATCAGTTCTTAACTTTAATATAGTAGAGATTTGTTATTATATAAATAACAGCTTCTTTATCTTCTATATCACACAGTCAGATGTGTGAGTCAATTTTAACTACAAACTTGTAAAAGCTTTTATAGATTATAATTTAATAGTTAATCTTAAGTAATTATAACTTAAGAAAGTTTCTTTTTAATTTGTAAATATTTCTGAAGATTATATCTAGAAACTCAGTTTAAGAGTATTTATAAATAGTAAGTATTCCTTATAGAATAATAGCTTAATTCTATAAGAGATACTCAAGAATATTCTTCACTAAGATTAATTTATTTATAAGTTCAAAGAGTTTCTCTATTACAGATATAGAGAATAATATTCTATAAGTAATTAATATGTTCTCTGAGACTTCTTTTACAGAGATTATTCATAATTCAGATGACTGCTTCTAAGTATCTGTAGTAGAGTTTACAGAAATTGAAATATATAAGTTTCTAATTCTTTCAGTTATAATAGACAGTTGCTGACTGACTGAGCTTGAAATATAAGAATAAGTGCTCACAGATGATTATTTAAGTGTTTACAGCTTGACATAATATATACTATTAACTACTAGAAGTATTCACAGTAGAAAGATAAAATATAGACATTAAATGTATAATAGTATTTAAGCTGAGTTATGAATAGTATTCACAAACTTCAGTCTATATAGTTATGTGTAGTCAAGGGCTGCTAACTCTATTGATTACGTGAGAGATAGAAATAGAGGTAAACAATCCGCGAGAAGCAGGATTTCTTACAATTGTGTATATATTAAATTATAAGTATTCAGTTCTGAGTGACTTCTACTGTTATTTATTTAGTCTGTTTATATTCTCTTCTTCTTTCATTTTTTCTATCTTCACTCTCTCTGCTCTAACTTCTAATTCTGTAAGTTCTGCACTCTTCTTCAATTTTTCTACATGTATATGTATATATTGAGTCACATCTTTATTACTAGAGAGAATAATTGCAGTGATTTTCTGTTTTTATATTATAAAGATAAGTTATTCTTATTTCTTTCTTCTCTCTTTTCTCTTCTTCAATTCATCACTAATTTCAAGCTGATATGAAAACTATTAAAACACTCTCAGAAATTCTTAAATTAAAAAGTATAAATTAGTTAAATTTTAAATATATAACAAATTAAATTATCTTCTAAAGTATTAATTATTTATCTCTTCTCTTAATAAAACAGTAGTTGTATTCTCTTTTCTCTCTCTCAAATGAAATATAGTCTGTGAAAAGTAAGTATTATACTAGATTATAATAATTAACACAGCTCTAGCATGTAGAGTTGTATACATACAGTATATATTAAACTAAGAGACTGTGTAAGTTACAAACTAGTAGCAGTATTTCAAGAAGAGTCATACAGTATAAGAAAGCTGTAACTCTCAGTTATATATACAGAGAGTGAGTTACTGCAGTAAGTATATATATATTATATAAAAGTAATACTTTTTAATAACTGTAACGTGGCGGAACCGAAGCAGTTGTGAGAGAGGTTGAACGTGGTTGGTTGTTGTTATCATCTAACTAACTAGCAGCTAGTGGAAGCTAAATATATGTGTGAGGGTCACGTGGGTTAGGGCTTGTGTAGTAGCTCCAACACCCCCCCATGCTACGCAGGCCAGTTAACCCACGCAGTCAAAAGCACTCAAATCATTCAAATCTGCAATAAAAATTAATTACAAAAAGTAGAGTCTAGTTTCCTTATAAGGACTAGCTCCATACATGAAAAAACATAAAAAAATATGCAAGAAGAACACTCAAATCTATTCTTCCAGTATTGGTATTACCCCCAGTCGTTCTAACGCCGCGGGATCTCATTCTCATTATTTTTGTGGTTTTCATTGTCATAGGCATAGGCATAGGTCATCGGCATAGGTCATCATATGGGCAATCGGTGGCCCGGCATCATATAGGCACTGGGGCCTGGCATCGTAGGCACTGGGGCCTGGCATCATGGTCATCGGTATGGGCATCGTAGGCACTGGGGCCTGGCATCATATAGGCACTGTGGCCTGGCATCGTAGGCACTGTGGCCTGGCATCATATAGGCACTGTGGCCTGGCATCGTTATCGGTATTTCCATCGTTTTGGCGTCGATATTGGCGGTCATCATGAGCATCATTAGAAGACTTGCTCAGTATTGTAGCATACAGATGTAGCAGCATTATCATCATTGTCCTTCTTTCTATTCTTTCAATCTGCAGGTCATTTCTCTGGGTGTTCAAACCAGCAGCTTGATTCATCATGGTCTTTCATATCTTCATGTTCTGAAGAATTATCTTGGGCTTGATTATTGCATTGTCTTCGCGCGGTTATTGGTGTTGAAAAGGATTCAGCTATCTGATTCTCTGTAGTCTCTTCGCGGTTGATCGATCTCGTATTGATGGGCATTTGATATGAAGTATTTGAATGAAAGAAGCAGCTATTTGAAAAGCTTATTGTATGATTATTGCATGGGTTAATGATTGTTATAACACTTTGTAGAAGTGCAAGGGCTTCATAACCTGTGAGAGAGGTTGAATGTGGTTGGTTGTTGTTGTTATCATCTAACTAACTAGCAGCTAGTGGAAGCTAAATATATGTGTGTGAGTCACGTGGGTTAGGGCTTGTGTAGTAGCTCCAACAGCAGTGACTAGTCAGCAGTGTTATGTAGATAGTTGTTTGAGAAGCTGTATAAGTGAGCTTAACTATCTTACTTGAATAGTGAGCTCATGAGCTACAGAGTTGTTACAAGAATATCACAGATATAGTACTTAGTATGCTAAGAAAATTGTATAAGAAATGCAGTAACTCTTATATATATTTTAGTAGAAGAAAACAAATCACTGACTTCTTTAATAAAGAGTAGACTGGCCGCCGGGACCATGAATTTCACATTTGATTTCATTTGGTCTGATCTCATACATTTCTTGATGTGAATTTCACTGGGACTAGTCATTAAAAAAACATGCAAAGTGACTATATATCAGATCTTAAAATGAAATCATGACTTGAAAAAAATGAGAAAGTGATTTCATTTGATCTCATTTAGTCTCATTCTTAGCATAAAGTTACTATTTTTAGACATTTTAAGGTTTTTTTTAGACTATTTTTAATTTTTTAAAAAGTAATGCTTTTTAATAACACTCAAATGAGATTTAAAGTTATTTAAAGTAATAAAAATAATTTAAATTGAGAAGTGAAAATTATAATCTTATTTGAAACATGTGACAAGAGTAGACAGTAAGTTTCACTGAGATAGTATGAAACTACTATCTAATGTTAAAACCATGTAATGAGATCAGTTGAATTGATAATAAGACTATTAAAAAATCTGATTCTGGTTTCAGACACAGTTATATAGTTAGTTTAATAAAGAGTCAGTATCTAACTGTTCTATATAGATAATAAGCAGATATCTCTCTTCTATTCTATAAGTGAGAATAGTCAAAGTGATATCTCAGTAATATCTCACTATTATAAAAGAGTAATCTGCTAATCTTGTATAGAAGTGAGATTTTTATATTTATTAATTAAATCTTTCTATATTACATCTGAATAATATTATAGAGTGATTGAAAATTAGTTTAAATAATCTATAAGATAAATGAAATTATCTGTAGAGAAGTAATAAGCTGTATAAAACTGTAATAGAGTCTTAATATAGCTGAGAATATAATAATACTTTCTTCTTTAAAAATATAGTTCTGATATTCTTAAGATTACTGAATTAGAAATTATCTTTTTATATAGTAATAGTTATCAATTAATTAATAGTATATATACTGCATGTAATATAAAGAAATAGATAAGTTTCTCTGCTAACTATGTAGATTTTCTTTTTCTTATCTTCATTTAAATGAAATATATAATAAGTGAATTTCTTATATATTAATTTAAAATATGAAAAATATAGTTAATAAGTGACTTACAGATCTTTCATTATATTCTCATTCTATATATAAAATTTCTTTATGGTTCGGAAGAACGTATCATAACTAGATAATAACACAGCCGCTTTCAAACACACTTATAAATGTAAAGAGGCTCTAGCGGCCACTAATTAATTTAGATAATATATATAAAAAGTCAGTGTATATCTATAATTATACACTAACTTAAGCAATCTTTGAATCATATCTTATCGATAGCATGTCTAAAAATCAGTGAGAAGTACAGACTTCTTTAGAGTGTGATAATTTCATCTATGAAGTGATTCATAGTTATCATATCAATGTAATTTTAAAATGTCTCAAAAGATAGTATATAAAGAAGTAATAAGTGAAAGAGTATCTGATTAATACTACTCTGCTTATTGAAGAAAAACTTCACACTCAGACAAATATTATATATGTAAATGAATAAGATGTGAGAAAGAGAGATATAAGTAGTAAACTAGATTCAAAGAAGACTGCTCTCTACTTAGAAGAATAAAAGAGAGATAATTATTACTGAAATTGTACAATAATAACAGAAATCAGAAATTAGAAATTATATAATAATATAATAATATAATAATATAATAATATAACAATAGACATTATATAATCAATGAGAAATTATTAAAATGAATATTTTCTCTAGTTAATATAAATAATACTCTTCTCTGCTATCTGAACTAAAAGATATACAGAATCTCTCAGAGAGTTTACTTAAAGTAATAAGAAAAACAGCTGAGATCACTGAATCAGAGTTGAAGCTCTGTACATGTACAAGAATTTTAAATAAAATCAAGGCCTTGTGTACACAGTGACAGACTGAGGTGAAAGTTAAGTAACAATTAATATTCACTGTAAATCAAGTATTCATTATGAAGAGCTTCACTGATACAATTGTTATTATCAATAAAAATAGAGAAAATCAGATTATAGACCTATAGTAAGAGATTGAATAATTACATAGATAGATAATCACACTGAATCTGAAGATCTTATTACAATTATTCACAATCTCTTCAGAAGTGTACACATTATCTGAGACTGCTGCATATAATAAGAATTTAAGTATAAGATATATCAAGTTAAATGATCTACTGAAGTTATTAAGCTTTAATAACAACTGAAAACATAATACTGCAATCAGCTGGCTAAGTTAAATGCAATTATATTATCAGATTAAGTGTAAACTCATAGACAGATAGTTAATGAAATTTCAACAAGTCTTAAGATTAAAAGTGAAGTCATTATAAATAACTGATAAAAAGTTAAATATTACAGACTCAGAGTGATATTCATTTTCATAAATATGAAATGAGTTTTTTAAATGAATCTTATATAACTTTGAGAAAGTAAATATGTGAGATAAGTGTTATAAACACTTCACTGAGTGTAGATAGATAAGCAATCTTATATTATACTTTATATACTTCAGCTTACACTATCTTACATTAAATAAAGAGCTTTTAACATCTTTTTATTTACAGATCTTCATTCATGATCTTATGTCTGAGTTGAGAGTAGAATAAAAATGCTTAACCTTACAATTAAATATAATAAAAGAAGTATACAATATTCTCATTGTATGAGAATAGATAAGTCAGCTGTGATAGAAAATACTGCAATTGAGTATACTTCAGTGAAGAATGAGTAATCAGACTTCTATGACACAAGTTACACACTTAAATGTGATAAATCTAGATTTGAATATCATTACTAAAGTACTGAATTCTCTGAAAAAGAGATTCTCTGAGTGACAATCTTAATATTATAAGTATTAAGCTTGCTTTAACTGTGAATATCAAAATCATAATATAAAGAATTACACACAGTGTGTACAGTTAAGAAAGGTAAGAGAGTTAAAAAACTAGTAGAATCAGTGAGCTTAGAGACACTCACTGATATTCTATAAAAAGTCTTCAAAGTGAAAGAGATATCTGTATTAGGTAACTCTCTAAATTCTATAAATATTAAGAGAAAGCAGACTTCTGAATAGAGTATAAGTGAGAATAAAGAAGTGAATACTCATCTCAATGTCTTAAGATCTGAAATGTTAATGTATAGAGAGTACTTAAGTAAGAATTAAGAGATGACTGTAAAAGTGTTAATAAATACAGAAGCTTCTATATAATATATTAATAATTATATAATCTAAAAACTAAAAGAGATCTGCTGAGTGAAGAATCTCTGATATATAAGATTATCTGATAACTGATATTTAGTATTATCTGTAAGAGTAAGAGTTGTCTTACACTTCAGAGAATAATCTTATTATATTTAGATGTAAGAGCTGCAGAATATAAAATCCAATCTTATTCTCAGACTTAATTAATTTCAAAGATTCAATCTGCAGATTCAATATTGTATGTGCTATATACAGTTAACTGATAAGAAGAAAACAGTTCATATAATTCTATTAACTGATATGAGAAGAACATTGCATGTCTCTGATATAGAAAGGTTAAATCTGCTTATATATTAATAAGTAAAGAGAATAATTTGCAAGACCTTATCTGAAAGCATTCTGTATATCATATAAGACTTGAAAGTGGAGAAAACTAAGATAAAGAATATACAGAAGAATAAGTGTATGAAGAAACTTCTGAAGAAGTATAAGATCTTCTGAACAGATCTTTCATCAGAATTGTCATCAGAATAAGAATTTATACATGAGATTAACACAGAGAATGTAAAACTAGTCAATTAAAATATGTATTCTCTGTTATAAACATATCTTGAAGGACAGAAGTGTCAGATCACAGATCTTGTAGAATGTAGTCTTATATAACTCTTATTAAGTGTGTGAGGCTTCTCAGTAATATTTATGAAAAAAATGAGTGAAAAGTGACAGATGTGTATTGATTATTAAGTACTTAACAAGATTATAATCAAGAACAGATACTTATTATCACAGATTCAACAATAGTTCAATACAGTCAGAAATATCTGATATCTATTAAAGATTGATCTTCTCTCAGAATATTAACAGATCTGTGTAGATAAACTGTTAGTACTGCAAATCACATTTAATATACAATGAGAGAAGTTTGAATTTCTGATAGTATCATTCAGTCTGACAAATGCATCTGCTATCTTTCAAATGATAATAAATATAATTCTTTATAAATAGAATGAAACCTCATGTCTTGTATATCTGAATGACATCATAGTTTTCTTAAACTCATGGAAAGAATATTTAAAGTATCTTGATAAAG